AAAGTCTCAATATTCTATGCCAGTCACGTAAGTGGTTGCCGGAGAACGAGTTTAAATTATAATGGCTGAGCAGACAGCATTGAACAGAAGTGTTAGTTAATTCACACTTAGTTCGTGCGTTAATACTCGGCAGGATTTGAGGTTCTCACGGCTGTAAGTCTTGAAAATGACTGTCTTCTGGGTTGTTGCCCCCGTGTAGTCTGGTAGAAGTTTACCGACGTTTCGGAGGTACTTTCTGCCTCCATCATCAGGGCAGTGAGTGATGATGGAAGGACCTCTGAAACGTCGGTAAACTTTGAACTCTGAAATATACGACAATTTGAATTTTAAGGTAGGACTTGCCTGCACAAATGTTCGACATTGACATTATCTGTTCGCAGTTGTGCGCGAAATCGATGTCTACATCTGAAGGTTCTCTCTCTCTATCTCGCTCTGTCGCCTCGTGAAAGAGGTTTGACCTTGCGAGTATAAGCAAAACAACATGGCGGACGAAAAAAAACATCTGTTCACCGACAGAATTGCGTTTGAGACTGGTGACCGCGTGTCGCGCATTCATAAGAAAATTCTAAGACATTTTCATAATCATTTTTCTTTGTGACGTCGAATCAGTGATTTGTGCAAGGTCTTTTAGTCGTATCCATTTATTCTTTCCGACATCTTACATCCAAAGACTTAATCAAGTCTCGTAGTTTAGGGAGTTGGTCAACAATTAATGCCACGGAACGCGGTTTTGAGAAGCTGATAGTCACTTAGCTGGTAAGCAGTGTTTCACGTGGTGTGACGATATTTGTATGCAGAAGCGCGCCCCAAAAAGAAATGTTCTAATTGACCTTCGTACATGGACTATGTTCGTGTGTAGTCCGAAGCCAGTGGAAGTCGAATTATCAGCTGTTTCTTGTTATTATCCAACGGAAATGTTTATCTCAATGCCCCTGATCAGAAGGCAGATTTACACGGCAGTTCAAGTTCCAAGAACTCTTTCATTTGCTGCGCAAACGGTTGAATAATAATCTTTTATCCGAAACGTAGTTAACGTGTTATGTTTCGAGTAATCGTTTCGAGCATTTCGAGTAATCGTTTCCAGTAATCGTTGAGGGCCGAGCACAATTTTCGACCCGCCCGCGTTTGTACATGCGAGATCAAATAGATTTGAAAATGAGAAGTGAAATTTCACATTGAATCTATTTTGGAATGTAGTAATAATTTTTGAGTATGCTGTACAACCCTGGTGTTATGTCACACGTCGCTGAAGGCCACGTATCTGCAGAATGTTCCATTTCAAACCCACCACGACAGTCACGTGATTAGGTACAAAATCAAACCAGAATCAGGTCGACCATTGTGTAATAGACCCCACTCGATTCAAAGTCACCCTGGTTGCTAAACCGATTCTGATACTGATCACGGGCGGTACTGTGTAGCCCTGAAAAAGGAATCGATACGTTCCTCCGAAACGTTGCTAATCCTCCTGCGAGAAAGTGTCCCAGATGTGTCTCATTTCCTGTGTAGACCGTAATGTGAACTGGAATGTTTTGGGAGTTTGGTGCAAGGATGTGGCTGGCTTTGAGCGGTTTCTCCGGAGGGTTACGACATGCTTGGTTGGCTCTCTGCCCGGCAGACTTACCTGCAAGGAAGCCCCTGATCTGCTGGCTGCAGCTGCCTGCCTTATTTTATTGTTTTGTTTTGTTAGGAAGCGGTTTTTTGTGCTAGGGGTGACCAGTCTCTGCTCCCTTTGTGTAGCTTTTCATTTGTTACAGTGTAGGAAAAGCTGTGCGTGTTTAAATAGTCTTATTGCCCGGTAAAAGTTGCAGAAATACGTGCCGATTATTTATGCTTACTATTTATCTGACAAAGCTACATGGTGTCGAATGGTCAATGAATAATGACTTTGGAACTATCCCAGCACTTGGTTGGAGTGGGTGAGGAAAACTACGAAAACTGTCAGTGAGGCTGACCTGTATCCAGGACGGTATTTGAAGCTGGGACTTCTGAATACGAGTACTGACTTCTTGGCACGGTTTTATTCGAAAGCGTTGCATTTTGAGGTTCATATCTTCACTACTTAGCAGAATGTCTCAGCGGCCACGCAATTTAGTATTCCGGGGGCACTGCAGGGTACTTCCGGCTTGCAGATCCGATTACATTCATTTGGTTTGGATTCTGCAACAGCTGCGGTTTAGTTTGCTTACGTATAGATCGATACTTACCACTTCGCGCCGTTCCTCACAGCGCATAGGATTATTGTTGTTCGTCACAGACTTTCTGACGTGGTAAAGTTTGCTGTTATAATCCCAGTGTAATGTAAATTGTACATATTTTTTTAAAAGTCGACTATTTGCTTCAAGAACTCAACTGGAGTGAATATTTTTGCGTCTTTGTTATATTTCTGTCACAGATCGACATATCGATATCTCGCATTGGAATTTCAGAACTTGTATTCGAGACATCGATGAGGCAGTTCCTGTTTACATGTAGGTTTTTCAGCGGCGTGAGTGGTTACGTCACGTCGCCTCCAGAATTTCGTTTTGCTCTGTTTGGTCGCCCCCTGTGAGTGTATTTTGGGCTGGTGTTTGTGGGTTCTTGGATAAATTGCTGCTGTGTGCCAGAGCTATTCTTACCCGCATTGTAATGAGCAGCTGGTAGAACTTCTGTTAGGTTTTCAAGCATGTCTGTTAGTTAAGCATTAACCACCCCTAATGACCTTGGCGTGGCTCTCAGGATACACGTCACAAGTATTGACGTCAGAATAAACACACTAACGTGGAGATAGTGTTTGTTTTTGACGACGTTCTAATTTTTGCCGTAAATAATTTTTAAAAAAATAATGTCTGCTCTGGATTGTTGTCGTATGGGTTCTGTAAACTACCAGACATTCGCCGGGGTAGAAATCTCATATTAAAACCCCTTAGTGTACGCTTTTCATCCATGACAAATGAAATACGTATACTCAATGCGTAGATAATAAATACAGGAATCCTGTCTGACGACTAGGGTCACGGTGTAGTAAGATGTCTCGGTTGGGAAGACGAGGTTTGTGGGAAATTTAGGATTAAACCTTTGAAGATGAAGATCCTCTGAACAGTATTTAAAAATTAAGGCAGTACCTAAAAGAAATAAATAAATTGGTTAATGTTGTTCTGGGAAATAATAGCTTTTTTTATTCTGAGAATCATACGAAATCCATAAATTCAAAACGTAGATTGAAGCAGCTGGTACGTATAGTTACCACTGGTCTGTAAAAAGTTTGGGGAACTGTGGACTCTGTTCACACTCGTCAAAACGCAGGAAGTGTGATAACGTGTTTAGTAAAGAAACTAATTTTGTGGAACCCTGTTGTTCGTTACCGTGTACGAGAGCCATTTTAATACTTGAACGTGCATAGAATTCTTTCATCCTGAAGCTGCCTTTTGATATTTTTGCTTAACCACTTGAAACCCGATGTTTGGTTCAGCGTAGCAGTGAAAATAAATACGCTTGCTTAAAATTCAAGCGATTATTTGCAATTTCGTTTGTTAAAAGTCGACCTTGAGATGCTTGTTTTCACCAGTACTGTTTTTGTTTGCATGTCTTGGTGCATTGTGTAGTTTGCTTTGCTATCCTACGATCTGTGATAAGATAACATTGTAGTGTCATAAAAGTACAGTTCACGAGTGGGAAGACCATATTTCCGATAATGCTTTTGTCTTCCTGGCAAATGGCGGTGACGTGGCTGTACTCTGCTGCGTCGTCAATATTCCTCATTCGGTACTGGAGAGCCATCTAGTGTGCTCTCTCGGAACCAAAGTATTGAGTTGAATGGTCCGTCAATCCTTTGTTATATCAGTTGTAAGGTCAAAGTAAGTTCCTTATATTTTCGTAACACGCATTTCTTATATCGTGCGAAATACTTGTTTCAAAGCTCAAAGCTGTGCCACGTTTGTTATAAGATCATAATATAAGCAGTCTCATGATATAAACTTCCGAGCAACTTCCAAAAGTGCTGTAGTTTAGAATTAATACTTGGTGGGACTGGCCGGTCAACTACGTAACTTTCCCCCCAGAGGGCTCATCATAGTTAATAAGAGGGTATACATTTTTCTTATTTCAAATGAAGGTTTTATTTCCTGACGCCATATTGCTGATGCCTTAAAGTCACTCTTGTCTTCATTTTTACTTGAAAGTGTAAGTTCCCGTTCATCCACTCTCTTAGTTAAAATTATAGTAATCTTAGGTTGCCAGTCGTGCACTTTGTACCCAGTTGAGCATTGTTTCAATATTAGTATTGAATGTTCTGTGTTCGTTGCTAAGGAAGTATTTCTGTCCCTAGACTTCCTTATTAGGTACATGACAAATATGGATTCAGAAAATTCAACGTTTACAGTGTGAACGAACCAGTTCGCGCAAATATAAAGTTTGTTCTCGAGAAGATTATCAGGCCCTCGACCCGTGCCTTGGCAAGTGATAATTAAAAAAAAAACTGCATTGGGCTGTCAAAGGATATGAGATAACGCCGTCTGGAATTTATATTTACCTTCGAATTGTGAAAAGGTCACTTCAGGTCCTTGAATGATAAACCCAAACTGCATCAGGCGTTCCAGATCTGGTTAATGGCCGTAACATGAAACTGGGTATCATTGTCGCTGGTTTTAGTGTTATTTTCTGACTCCTCAACATTCATTGCTTACTACGTGCTGCATGTAACATTACCCGTATTCAATCATTAATTACAATGTTTCGTGCAACTGTAGATATTTGCGTGTCTGTGGTTTTGAAAATCGTGAAATGATCTGACGTTATTTTTCTGTGATGAGACTGTTTGCTCATATTAATTACTTTAGAATTCAGCGCTAACAATTATACATGAAGAAAAAATGTGAAATTTAACACTAGTTTTAATCTAGTAAATCTAAACTAATTTTTTAATTATTAATTATGTGCTTTGACTGCGATTGTCATGTCATTTTTGCTTGTATTTAGATTTGCAAATATTATATTGCAATTGCGCGTTTTATCTGTTGTAGTGTCGAGATTTTGTGAAGGCAGGAGCTGAGCAGGGGCAGACGCCTTCCGATGTTATCCTCGCAGCTGACATTACATTCTCCTGTGTTGCTGACCCTCAAGCTGCCAAAGACGTAATGCAACTTATTTCCTTAATACAGACTTGATAAAACATCATGACCTTCATTCTGTCATGTTTAGGAGGTACCAGGTTCAAATCTCATCCTGTGAGCCCCCTCCAGGAAGATGCCAGAATTATACTAAATTAGGCCGTGGCATCTTCCTTCTGTATTGTTTTCATTGACTAATTAGCTTATTCAGTTTGAATGTGGAGTAGGTTTCTGTTGCCAACACGTAGAAATTTAATTTCATCCTCTAAATTGTACAATGAATTACTTTTGTGTTCAGTAAACAGGCGAAAGATTTTTGGTAAACTTTGTTTTAGTGTGTAGTTTAAATGCCAGAAAATCTCCAAACATGACCTCAGACGATCATAGAAAATTAATAAGAATACGTTTTCATCTTCCTATAAATTATGCTGGGTGTTTCAGATGGTTTTTGGCAACTGCGGCGTTCTGCTGGAAACGTCATCCGCCAAGGGTTATGTGGAAATGACTGGAATTGATGCAGAAACCTCGCAAGACATTGCCGAGGTTCGTGACTGTCTTATTTCTCACGCAGCTGTCGGTATAGTGACTGGCTGGGGTTTGATCCCGGTCGGGGGCAGAAAATTTCTCTTCTGGCCTCTGCCCGCCCAGCCTCATGTCCGATGGGTACCGGGTTCCTTTCCCGGGGGTAAAGTGATGCTGACCAGTTCAAATTTGTGAAAACAGTGCGTGTGCGCTGTCAATTCTCATCATTTTAAAATGGCGGAATGTAGTTTGATGTTGTGGTAATATTTATTTAAAATCGTGGAGATGCGTACGCTCATTCTCCGCAGGCGAGTTAATTGCAGGGTTGTACTGTTGCATCGCTATGCTGCTTGAGTAATTGCATTACTAATGTACAAGTGTCTCAAAAATATGTATACACATTGTTAATTAATGAGATAAAGACATAATAAATTCTAACCGTTGCGTACGTCAGCATTGGCACTTGGCGAATTAGCAGATCTAGCGTAATTGTTCGAAATGACCTCCGTCCGTGTCTTCGGTGAACGCGCCACACACAGAGATTGATTACAGTGTTACTGTTCCGTAGTATACATCTTTTTTGGACAGGGTGTATTTATAGTTTCAACAATCTTTTCCTTGCAGGCCATCAATGCAAAAGGTGGGCGTTACCTTGAAGCGCAAGTCCAAGGTAGTAAAACGCAGGCAGAAGAAGGAACGCTGGTGATCCTCGCAGCAGGCGATCGGTCACTCTTTGATGATTGCCAGTCATGTTTCAAGGCAATGGGCAAGAACTCTTTTTACCTTGGTTAGTACCAGTCCATTTCAGCACTTTAGGTAAGGTGGCGACGCAAACAGATATCGGAAGACGCGCTTACTTGTCAGCCGAGAAACTCTGGCATAAGATCCCACGAAACATGTAAGTGAGGATTGATACCGGCTACTGGAAGGTTAAAAGAGCAGTCTGTAGTAAACTTCTACCAGACAACGCGTCGCAGCAACCCAGAGGACAGCCGTCTTCAACGTTAGTTTAAAATGCTGGGCAGTTGTCGTAATGTCCGTTGGGTTTGCATCACAACCCAGAAGACAAACAGCTGACAATTTTTATTGCCTGTTCTAAGAACCAATAAAATTCCACGTATTATCTCCAAAATATGGATGCTGCAGGAGTGTTCTTGATCCCATATAAAAATGTGTGTTTTGGCATTGGGTCTCTTCTCCATCGTTGCAGGAGAAGTTGGAAACGCGTCCAAAATGAATCTCGTACTGCAGCTGATGGCAGGAGTGACTCTCGCGGGGCTGGCCGAGGGCATGGCGCTGGCGGATAGGGCGGGTCTTCAGCAGAAGGATGTCCTTGAGGTTCTAGAACTGACATCATTAGCATGTCCCACTATCCTCGAGAAGGGGAAGGGTAAGTTAACGTAATCAGCGTTTTGAGTTTGATCGTATATCGCTCGGTCACACGTCGCTGATTATATTTTAGAAGATACCGAAGTAAATTGTGATTGTCCGCAGCCTAGGAGCGCTGCCGTCGGAAGTAGTAGTCGATCACAGCGCATATTTACGATATTGAAATATTCGTTGCGCGCGCTTTGTTGTTGCCTTTTAAGCTTCATACAACTATTTAACATTTTTTGATGGTTGGTGCCTTTCTAAAAGCCAGACCGGCGAAAAATTATCTGTTTTGTTGATTCGTACAATACTCGACGGAATTGTCGTTGCTGGTGCAGCGAGTCCGGTCACTGTCTCTCGTTCATTTCGTATATCCTGAGGTATTCTGAAATGGTTGTTTGCACGCATTTCATCGTTTTATTCTTTTGTTTAGATTACGTTTCCCTGTTTTAATTAGCACTGAAACTGCCATTTGATTGTTTAATTTATGCAAGACAAGGCAGTATAATTGCAAGTGCTTTTATTTTAATTGAGGGAACATTAACTTACGGAAATTGGGAGTTTTTAAGAATCCATGGACAATGGTTTTGCGATTTAGTCTTCGCAATCTCTGATTCTGAAGAAGCAGTTGTTGGGTTACAGATGTGATAAGTACAACAGAGCAAGTGGTGACTGGCGGAACAAGAAAACTACGGTGAAAACTCTGCCTGGTTTGCACATGTTTGTTTGTTCAGTGTGACGAGTCACATACTATTATCAGATGTCACCGTCGGTGGACTAGTGGTTAGCGTGCTCGCCACTGGACCCCAGGTCAGCGGGTTCAAACCCGGCCGAGGCCGATGGATTTTTAAGGGTGATAAAAATCAGTAGCGCAACTTCCTTCGGAGGGGAAGTAAAGCCGGCGGTCCCACGTCGTAGATTTACGGCGTGTAAAAGAACCTTACGAGCGTGAACGAGATGTTTCGAGGAATGTCACACCTGCCAGTTTTACTTAGTTTGTCGTTGCACGTTCGTCCTTAGTGTCAGTTATTAAGGACTACGTGTTGATTGAAATCGTACATGTTTAGTCCTAATATCAGACATTTATACGCGTGGCGAAATTTATTTTCGGCACTTCTTTGTCCCTTTATTTTTCTTCCTCTGTGTAACCGTCTGTCAAACACACTTTTGTGGCACAGTCGTGTAGATCATGAAACGTTGATTCTTTCATTATTATGAATTATGTAGGTTGAAAAGTTTAAATTAATGCTATCCGGTTGGCGTAAAAGATTAGTAGTCGCAAATGCAGTACGTGCAATTATCGGGAAAGGATAAAGAACAGCTACTAGTTGCCACGTTTTATACCACATATTCTGTTAATCGGTTCATTCATTGCAGAAAAGAAAAGTTGCATTTGCGATTAGAAATTGTAGCAAAATATCTTATTTGGATATGTAATTAAATTATTTTTTTCCTGTATATTTTCTGGTGTGGGTGCTGTATGCAACACACCTTGCACATTAAAGTTGAGTGAATGTGATGACGCGGTCCAGCGGTTTATGTTCCTACTTCATAGTTGGGAGATTATGATGATTGGTTGTTCTTGATTTTTGTGGTTTTTCCTCAGACTCTCCAGGAAAATGTCATTGTGGTGTCTTAAGTAGGTCATAACCAATTCCATTTCCTATCGCTAATGAAAACTTGGAGTAATTTATAGTGCTGAGTGTTGTTATCTGAATGATCTCTTCTTTCATATCTACATGTGAACAGGTGTTGTGCCGTAAGGGCACGAATAACATCCGCAATCTGTGAGTACTTACACGTTGTGAGCCCCAACATTATGAGGCTGTTGAATGTAAAATTTCTCTTATTGGAATCCATATATCGGCATGGTTTGGTACTGATTTGTCACCTGGTGGAAGAAGTTTTTCTTTGACTTTTCAGCGATCATTGAGGGTGGTTTTCCGACACATCTCCCCCTGCAGCATATGCAAAAGGACCTGAAATTATCTCTGTACATGGGTGACCAGTTGGAGCAGCCTTTACCTCTGACAGCGTCGACTAATGAACTGTTCAAACATGCAAAGAGACTTGGTTACGGAGAACACGATGCCTCAGCAGTCTACATCCGTGCACGCTTCTGAACATCGCCCGTAGTATTTTACACGTGACTTACAAACCTTTTGAATATGTGGCATACATCATTGTTTGGAATTCTAACCAGGCTATTCCATTTATTAGTGTCTCGTTTACAGATAATTGCATTCAGATTGTAATGTTCTTGCAGAAAATGTTTGTGTTTGCAAATGGACTCTGAAATTATGCAAGTTTTAACTGCAATAGTTCGCCATCTTTGGGATGTATTTCCATAACACTGGTTTGCTTATTAATTTATTTCCAGAAGACTTTAACTGGAAAGTGGTTACAATTGTAAAAAAGGAAGAATCTAATTGGCCTTATGAAAGAAATGCATGAGTACTTTTTCATAGTTCAATATATTTTGGGATAACTGGAGGGAATTTTAAACATTGATGCTACATCATTTGTGCTCTCAAGAATATGTACAATGTACAACATGAACATGCAAGAATATGCATTTACTGCATATTTTTAATATGTATAGAGTGAACATAGAATTGGGTTTCTCTTTTACATATGTCATTAAGATTGACAAATCTTATATCGGAAAGCTGTAATTTTTTCAATTTTTGTACAATAATTTGTTATTGCGTGAAAACAAATCTCTGAACAATTTTACGGTCATAATAGCAGAAAGCTATGTTCACGACAGTCGTTTATAGCCGATGAAACATATTATTTTATTTTGTGTGTCAAAATTTTTGCACTGCTTTGTATGTGTGATATAAAAGAGATACTTAATTCTAAACACACTTTAGGAAGGTTTCAAATAGCACTCCAGGGAGGAGGCGGTGGTTTACCCACTTGGGGACCGTAGTAATTTGCGTCCTCCTGCTCTGTATATTTAATTTTGATTCAGTACACAATTTTACATCGTCTGGGTAATGGTGCAACATCCCAGAAGACGGCCATCTGCATACTCGTTGCCGTGAGAACCTGAAATTTCGCTGTGTCTTAGATTGTGTAGCGATATAATCATGTGTCTGTGTTTAATCTTTTTATTTAATTTACATTACGTTTTAACACTTTTAAAGTTTTAGGTAACCAGATGTTTACAGGTTGGTTTCAAAGTATGTGAATGAGACGTTTGAACGGGACTATTGTGGCACATTAACATGTGGTTTATAGCGTTGGGACCTTCATATTCAGGTGTACGTATTGTAAAAGTTAGCACCTGTCCACGCTACTTTACTGGATTTATGAATTATGTAATATAGAAACTTGAAACTCAGCAAACTGGAAAATATGTCACTAACTGTCAGATTTAAGCTAGATGGACAGGAGAATCAGCATAAGAATGCATCAAAATATATTTTGTACGGTGCTCTATATGTGAACAGTTCTTAAATGTAACTTTTATTTCCAAAATTTGAGAGTAATATCAGATTTTGTACATTTGGATGAAAATGCCAGAATCCTTATTCTTCTGTAAAAGAAAGCTCCTTCTTCCTCCCCACCCCTTCCCAAGGTTTGAATACCGTGTAAGGCTTCTGTCTGCGGCTGTGGTCACGTGCACTGCCAACAGCCATTCAACACATCTGCGGACTGTCAGTGAAGTTTTTAAGGGTACTCTTAGTTGTAACGTAACTTGGTACTAATCTTTTGACTGGCTTTTTTGTGTCCATCGATGGGTGTTAGTTATCAGATGTGCCACAAATATTGGCATGAATCTGGAAGCTTGGCATACAGCGAGTGTTTTTGGGGGTGGGGGTGGGGAAGGGAACAGGAGTGTTAACAGTCCTGCAGGCATCAGCCCTTGTTACCGACTGTAAACGATAATGTGCGTAGTCTGATGTGTTCGGATTAGACGGCATTTGCCTCGGTGAGATGGCATACAGCGAAGGTCAAGCTTGCAGATTTGCGCTGACTGCCGTAGGTTTAAGTACTACAAAGTATAATATGTTAATTGATTTATTTAAATTAAAAGTTTCTTTTAAAAAAATTTAACTAACAAAACCACTAAACCCTCGTAAGTTACTTCCAGCATTATATCTCCCTCAGTAGGTTCTTTTAGTCTCGTTTCATGGATTTAACCAGTCCAGTATTTTGCCTGTGCAAAATTCATTTGCGTAAACAGAGTAATTCCAAGGCTCACACTCCATTCATACCACTGTATCATTTTCTCATGAACTTCTTTCATTTGTATTTAACTGAAGAAAGAATCTTATCTGTCCGATTCTCCTCTGCCTCTTGGTTTTCTTGGCCACGAAGTCTAACTTACTTAGCAGCCGCGACGACAGTAGATACATAACACAACTCTTCACCAAAGCTGCATTTACAAACACACTGTTGTCTGACACATTTCATTGTGTGCGCCCTGCTTTACGTTTATGATGTGCCGAGCAATGGTGGAGCCTTTCGTTGCTGTTTTGGACTGGATTTAATATGAAGCTTCTGAAGTATCATCATTGTCATTGTATGCTTTGTTTTTTCTGCACTGCTCTTATGTGTAACGTGGTGTAAATTGTCGTTCTTGTACTTTTATTGCAGCAAAAAAATGTGTTATAATTACGTAGAGTGGCAACTGCTGCGGTTCCCACCAAAGTTGGTAGTTTTGCTGCCGTGGATATATTTGTGAAACCAGCCTAAAAGAAGTTTTTCCCCCCCATCGTCTTTTCTACAAGGATCTGCCACTACGCAGAATCTCTTAAACTTTGAATGGTTGAATTGTAGCATCAACGTCAGATCGTAATTATGCTGAATTTTCACATGATAGACAAGTCGAGCATTTAGAACTCTTTATTGTTCCATATAAGTAATATTTTTAATTGAAGTTGCTTATTTTACTTAGTTTCAGCTTCATTGTAGCATTATATATTGTTCCATGTGGCGTCTTGCTTACTTGGAAATACGTGTTCGTCATTTGCAAAAACATAAATGGGTTTATAGAGTATAAATATATAATGAGTACATAAGAACTGTCTAATACGTTAGTTATTAGCAGTTCTTTTGCGTTATTTTCTGCTAGATAAAGTGTTATTTTAAGACTAAAAGTATGTCCCAATTGAAGTGGCAGTTCGTGCTCTGTAACGGATGTTAATTAAGATGTGTACATTGCAGGAGGAATTTCAGATTACTGGTCCCTACATCGCCGACTCTAAATAAAGCTACATTTAAGTTATTGCATGCCATATTTACAGTAACTGTGTTGCATTTCTGTGTATGTAATAATAAAATTAGCGTAAATATGGAGTAAACAGAAAATACCAAATTTTGGCTGATGCTTTGATTCGTCATTCATTTTTATGTTTGAAGAGAAGGACGTGTGTTTCGACACTGGATGTGCAGTTGCTTGACCAAAGCTGCGAAGGTTGGCTTACCAATATAAAAAAATCATGTTTTTTAGAGCAGGCGCGATTCGTGTAAAAGTGTAATCGGAAGTGAAGTGTGTGGTCAAGGTGCAATTATGAGGGTTAGACGTATTTGTTGTTGCTGTGAGTATACAGTCCTACTAAAAGTTGGATGTTTATTGTATATTAAATTTTTCACAGAATAATTTTCATTGATTAATTTTAATCCCCTTTATTAGTTATCAGTTTTTATATTTTTATTGTATACTCAATTCTGTCCTTCATACACTTATATAGTGAAGGGTTTAGAGATTGACAAAGCATCAAAGTAGCAGATAATATTGGGGATATCTGGAGAACAATTATGTGTAAACTGAAAGCTAACATTTTTGTGACATAAAAATATAGAATAATGATGGCTCATGAAATGTAACAAGATTGATTTCTTGTACACTAAATTCGAGCAAGACATCCTGGAAAGAACTTTTAATTCATTCTGTTTTTGGATTGTTTCGTTGTATACGGTGAAGTGAACGGAAACGCACGAGTGCATATTTTTGTCCGTGTTTTCTGTGGATAGACAGAGGATGGGAGTTGTAAGAATGTGTAAATTATTGATTAAATATAAAACTGTTGATAGGAGAGGTACAGGGTGCCTGAAAGAATATGGAGACGTATTAGTGCATAAGACATGAAAGAATAATTACACCATCTTAAGTTTTTAGTGTCTCAGAGTTGTAAGTTAGGACCATGTCAGGGGGACTGAGTTTGCAGTTTTGGTCTCGCGACGTAAACCAGAGTACGTAGAAAACGCAACTGTAAATTAGATTTCTGTTACTGTATAGTCCCATTATTTTTTTAATTCCTGGCCATTCACATTCCATTACATTTTCTGGTCCATAAGAATTATCATCATTGAAAAACAACCACATGTGACCACCTCATTGGCTAAAGTGAATTGTAGTAACCAGAACTTAATTTATGATGTGTATCTGAATGTCTCGCTTGTCTTTGGCAGTCGATCCCCAAAACTCGGCACAGGCCGAAACATAACTAACATTGCAGCACATTGTCTAGGCTCTCATGAACCTTCGGGTTCCATAAAAGATGGCTACCTGAATGACTTTGCACTTTGCTGTGTGGCGTTATCATTTGTTCTAACGTTAGTCCATTTTTTCATACATTTTTAAAATATTGATCTTGGAATATGTCTTTAAGTTTGTTCCTTCCAGGAGAAATAAACGCGTAATTTGTATCACTGTGTGCAAAATATGTTTCAGTTTCCAGTCTTTCTTCTTGAACTGATACGTATCCTTCACCAATTAAAATACAGGTTTAGGTACTGTAACTACAATTAATTTTTTTAATATTAAAATTTAAATTAAGTAAAGTGCTGCTTGGTCAGGGGTATTGAACATCTCGCGGGACAGCGACAGAACTCGGGGAAACGCGATGCCGTAGTGCCGCGTTATCCGCTATGAATCTCATTTGAATTAAACCAGGATTGAATCTGTGTATCTGCATTGAGAAGCCAGCATCTAGTCACCTCAGCTGTGACGCAGTGCGCGTTCATCCTAATATGACTGGTGGTAGTTCGACACCATGGTACAGTTATGTGACCCTGCCCACTCCTATCCAGCAGTTGTTTTCAGATGTGCATGTTCTCCGTACGGTGTACCAGACTTTGTTCCATGAATGAGCCATCATCGAACATGACGTGAGGTTGGAAAAGTGGAAGTGAATCTTACATTTTGTGACATCTGGAACGTTGCAAAAGAAAGGTAACTTAATTGCAGTTGTAACTTCAATGTTGTAATGGTTGAAATAATGTAATTTGTTGTATCAGCATAAAATAAATTACCTATTGTGACTATTTTTAAATGCAAATTTAAGATATGTGTGTCACCTTTTACATAACGGATGTCGGTAAATGAAGCTGATACTTTTGAGGAATAAGTTGTGAGTTAGGCAATGTATAAGAGAATTAGTTTATTATGATGTTTTTGTAATTCATGAACACGTATAAGAATTCATTGTGTACTGCAGGAACAAGTTGAAAGTTTGTTGCGACAATATTTATGCAGGTGTCATCATTCAGAATACGGTGCCCATTTCAGATTTTGGCACTAAAGCTGTCTCATGGCACTTTCAACAAACTTGTTTATATGTTTAGACACAAATTAAATACAGTTTAAAGAATATGTGGGTGTTCCATCTTATTTTCTCTTATAATATTGCTGGATAAAATGGACTAGATTCGGTGTCCGTTACCTTTCCTGAACTTGTTACATTTTTGTCATTGAAGTGAATTTGGTGTTCTTGTTGAGTGACTCGCCTTAATATTTTCATACGTGCGTACACACAGTAACAGGTGTGCCCGGCACTTCCAGTCCCGCGTTACAGTTCGTGGTTACAAAAATGCATGGTTTGACAGCTGTAGTTATGATATTAGTAATATAATTTTTATTGTTCAGTTAAAGAGGTGAATGTGTTTGTGAGCGTAGTTGAATTTTGCTGAACGGATATCTGTAAGTTATTTACAACGTAGAAATTATTGAAATCTGAATTGTGGTTTCTGATGCAGGTTATACAAAATGAGCTTGTGTCAACTTACATATTCAGCCTCCCACATGCTGGTTATTTAGAAAGAAAAATATGTCATGCCGATGAAAAATGTTAACAGTATGAGTAACCTTTTGCAGTGATAGTACTGATAAACAATATGCATTTAATGAATCTCTCAGTTTTCAAGTGGTGATGGTTCGTGCATTTATAAATAAATGCGACATCACTCTTTCTTGAAATTCAGAAAAATAGTTTTTCTAAAGACATATAATAACATACTTGATATCACAAAAATGATTAGCAGACTGACACTTGTCCGCTGATGTTTTATTTGAATCGCATAGTAAAACGTGATTAAAGTAGGTGGAGTGGCCTTTCGGTACAAATAAAATGACTCCATGGAGCATAGTCCTTGAGGAGCTAACAGTAAGGACAGCTAATTCCTCACATTTGTGGAACTCAATCCTTAAGCTACATTTTAATATCGTCCCATCTACGCTTAGGTCTTCCCAGTGGTGTTTCTCCTTCAGGCCTCCCATTCAAAATGACGTGTGCATTTTTCACATCTGTCACGCGCGTTACGAGCGCCTAGTTAGGTCGTCCTAGAAACATTTGGTACAGACTTTTCGTACAAGGCTCGCTCTCTCTCCCCCCCTTTTTTTGTGTGTGTGTAAGGGGTGAAGTCGTTTGCTCCCCGCCTAACCCAGTAACTGCATAACCGCCGCATTCATTCAAAAGTAATTCACACCGGTTTAATATGATCCGAGTTTCCGGCTTGTAAACATTACGTTTGTGTGTTCAGGATCGCCCGTGGCTTAAAATAACACAAGGCTACGCGCGTTTCGTATTTGTGGGATGCTGTCTTACGAAGTGAAGACATGTTTTGCAGAGAGAACTTAATGTATCCACATCGTTTTAAGGAATAATTAACAAGCATCATGGCGAATCAGTATAAATTTATACGTACATCTTATATCTCACTTAGGTATAGAAGGGAACATTATGTTAGAGTGGGTCTTAGGGAAATGGGTTTTGAGGTTATGGATTGCATTCATCTGGCTTATGATGTGGGCCTTTGTCGGACTCTCGTGAATGTCCAATACGTAAAACTATTTCTGTTATTAATGGTACGTATTGCTGTTACATTGCCTTAAGGGTGCAACCATTGTGCCCCACAGGTCAAACACCGGGGTTAAAATAATGACCGAAGTTCTAATTTTCCAACGCGTCAAAAACGTCTCTGATTAAATTCTGTTATGTTTTCTGTGTTCCTCTTGTGTTTATGTATGGATGCCAAGATGAAATCGTGTTGTCTTTAACGTAGACTTTAAAAAATCCGCCTACGGTGTTTTATTTAGCAACCATGCCTGGCACTAGTGTCAGAGAAGTTGCCGCGTGAGATGGGTGGCTCGAATATCTACACCGTAAGGTCCCCTGCTTTATTAAATCCTGAAGCCATCTTAACTCACTCGAAAGGGTCATAGGACATTTTTAATTACTCTCATCTTCAACCCAAATAAAATAAGTACAACTCAATTATATTTGAGTCAATATTAAATAGTTACGTCATTCACATTGCAGTACGTTCTTTGCTCACTTGAAACTACTCGACTGGTTTCTATTAAATTTGGTATTGGACGGTCACTACAAAAATCTGTCAGAGCTGCTTTAATTTTGATAGAGTGATACCAATTACGGACCCGAATAATTCTGCCATAGATTATAGCATAGAGTGCCTTGTGTGTTCTTTGAGAACACTTTTGTCAGAGATCGGTGGCACACTCTGTAGAACAAGGAGTGTGTTGTGAGTATCTGTTCAGACGAATGTTTTAACTGCTGAGATTGATATTTCGTGTCGTATACAATTTCTATCACACACGTCGTTTTAGAGATAATTACAGTTATTAGTGGATTTCTTGAACATTACGTGATTCGCGTGTACACCATGGACGTAACGTGTGAGTTCCAAAACCCATCTCCTAGTGTAATAGACAACTCGAAGGTACGTGGATCTAATTTGTATCCATCCAGTTATGTCCAGTGCCATCGAAATTCATCCAAGGCGTCTTTGACTTGACATATGTAAGACTTACATTGATGAATATTTTATTTGCTCTTATTTCATATTTTCTGTGGAAAATATTTAAATTTTGATTGTTATTGTTATACAAATGTGAATCTCAAGCTTTTTTATAATTTTTTATTAAAAAAATAATTCACCACGTTAGAACGCACAATTTTTATTTGAAACATAATAATAATTACTGTGGCAAACAACAGAGCCCCTTGCTGAATTTTGTGGCAGTGCAGACACTCAGATTAAGATTTTTTATGAGTATTTTTGTCTTGAGGACACTCT